AGACAAGGATGCCCTTTATCACCACTCCTATTCAATATTGTGCTCAAAGTCTTAGTCAGAGCTAAGATAGGGCAAGATAGTAAAAAAGCTACTAGACCTCATTGGAGGATTCAGCAAAGTGGCAGGGTATAAGATCAACATCCAAAAATCAGTTGGATTCCTCTATACCAATAACGACAGTGTTGAAAAGAACATCAGGAAAACAATACCATTTACAACAGCTACCCAAAGGATGAAATATCTAGGAATAAATGTAACCAGAGAAACAAAGGACCTATACCAAGAAAACTACAGAACACTACTATAAGAAACCAAAAGAGACCTACAAAAATGGAAGAATATACCATGTTTCTGGATAGGAAGACTTAACATTGTGAAAATGTCAATACTGCCCAAAGCAGTTTACACATATAATGCAATCCCAATCCAGATTCCAATGACGTTCTTCAAAGAGATGGTAAAAACAATTATAAACTTTATATGGAAAGGAAAGAGATCAAGGATAAGCAAAGCACTGCTTAAGAAGAAGAACAGGGTGAGAAGCCTCTCACTCCCTGATTTCAAAATTTACTACACAGCTACAGTGGTCAAAACAGCCTGGTACTGGTATAATGAAAGAAACATTGATCAGTGGAACTGAATTGAAAATCCAGAAATTAACCCACCCACATACAGCCATTTTGTTGAAAATCAGTTGGCTGTATAGTGAAAGAATACAACCCTGTCTCACACCTTTCTTAATTTTAATCCATTCAGTGTTTCCATGTTCTGTTCGAACAACTGCCTCATGGTCTATGCACAGATTCCTCATGAGCACAATCAAGTGTAAAAGGAATACTCATACTTTGCATTGCTGTCCATAGCTTGTCATGATCCACAATCGAAATCCTTTGCATAGTCAATAAAGCACAGGTAAACATCTTTTTATTATTCTTTGCTTTCAGCCAAGATCCATCGGACATCAGCAATAATAATAGCCTTCGTTCCATGTCCTCTTCTGAATCTGTCTTGAACCTCTGCAAGTTCTCTGTCAATGTATGCTTGCAGCCGTATTACCTTTATTAAAATTTTACTCGCATGGGATATCGAAGATATTGTCTGTAGATTTTCGCATTCCGTTGGGTCACCTCTGTTTGGAATGGGCACAAATACGGATCTATTCCAATGTAATCAGAAAATAAATCATTGACACTGAGTATTTGTTCTGGGGCAGTTACGGGCCAAGCCTGAAGGTGGCGAGGTTCATGCCAGAGAAGGGCAGAAGGCAGCATTAGTGGCTGCCACAACTTGAACATAGGCTGGTCCCAGGCACTGTTGTCCCAGTGCATCCGGGTCACTTGTTGCCAGTTTCACATAAAACCAAGAACAGAACAGTGTGAGTGTAGCTGTGCACTGTCCCAGCCCCACAGGGTCCCTGGGCTGCCAGTCAGACCCTCCTAGTCTAAGCGAAGAACGTGTGACCCCTTTGTGCCTGTTGTGTCGTGCAGGCGGGAGATTCAAAATGACCAACTGTGGGAGCCAGCTAGTTAGGCTGTGGGGCAGAATGTGTGACCTGCTGGCATTCCCCACCTAAGTGGCTCTCTGATTTGAGGCGGTAAGAGGCTGCCCTGGCGAGGACTGTTTCTGGAGTGGAAGAAGTGATTTCTTCCTGTCTTGGAGAATGTGCTTTGCAGAGTAGGGAAAGAATTTTGCTGGATGAAGGGTTGCTTTCAAAACTTGAGCATAGGCTGGTGACGGTCTATTGCTGGGAGCCAAACCTACCTGTCAACTGGCACAAAGATGAAGATTTAGCATTTAGTCCATTGGGCTTCAAAAAAAAAAAAAAAATCATCAGCGTGTACAAAATATTTGTATAGCATGCTTATGAAAATGATACATGGGGGTGTGTGTAAAATAATAAATAACCTCACAGCAGCATAGAACTTTGAGGACTAGGATCATTTAGTTGATTTTAGCAACTAAGCATCCATTGGTGACATCTGAGAATAATTACCAAGTGGAAGAGACAGATACCAAATCTCAAGTCCAACATTTTATAAAGGTTTCTTTTTTGTACATTTATTTGGATTATGTAAATGCTTTAATTTTGGGAAACTTTTACTATGTGGAACATGCAAAATGTTAAAAAATTCAACTTACTTATTTAGCAATGCCAATTTTTGTCAGTCTTTTCTTTCTCCACTTCTCCTCTATTTACTGTTGATTTTCTGCTGTAACTCTTCTGGATAAACAGCCTCCTTGATGATGCTACAGAGATAAGCCAGGGAGAGCTCATAGGCTATTCTCAAGGAAAAAAACAAAACAAAACTGAACCCATGGGATTTAGTGTATGGACTTCCATAAGTACCAAACTTGATTTATGCTTGTATGTTTGATGGGAAAGTATCTAATGTCACTATTTGAGTCATTGAATGGATGTCTGTTGAGCTCATTAGTGTTCCTCACTCAGAGAACCCTTTATGGAAATTCACTCAAGTTTATTACCATTCGTGGGAAAATTTTGACCCAAATACTCTTTCTCCTTTGTGACATGGATCATAATTTTACCACAGTGAACTCTTTCCTTTCTTAACCACAGAGGTATCCAATCCAGTCATTCCAAATACAAATAAACTGTTTTTCTTTTATAGACTCAAACTCTCAAGCATTAATTTCTTCTTCTGTGTCTTTGTCCTGCTTCTCGATTCCTAATTTTAGAACTATTCTCCCTTCTCCTATATTCAACAGAGTGGTGGTTGTTAAGCTGCTGAGTCGATCCCAACTCATAGTGACCCTGTATCGGGTTTCCTGGGCTGTAAATCTTTACAGGAGCAGAAGGCCTCATTTTTCTTCTGTGGAGTGACCTTGAAGTTACCAGCCCAACTCGTAATGTACTACACCTTATTCAACATAGTATTAGGGCATAAATATGGGCAGCCTGGAAAATTCAGAATGATCAGAAATCAGAACTTATTTTTCTCTAGATGATGCATTTTTAGGACTCTAGGACACTTTATGGATAACTGATTGGACTCTAATATCTAAGTTCTCATGTGTTGTTAAGTGCCATCAAGTCAATGTCAACTCATAGCAACCCTCTATAGGGTTTCCGAGGAATAGCTGGTAGGTTTGAACTCATGACCTTGAGGTTAACAGTATGATGCTTATTCTACAGCACCAGAGTGGTTCAAATCAAGACTCTGGGGATCTTTACTTGTTGGTGTCTTTGGGTTGTATTGGTATAACAAAATCTGGATTCAGTAACTTCTGAAAAGTAAGGCTATGTGTGAGTTTTGAAAGATCTCTTTTACCTTTCCCTGGAAAGAGGACCTCAAAGTTCCCAAAACATTTCTTTGTAGTAACTCCATGCTGACTCTTGAAATGTTTCTGGTAGAATAATAAAGATCTAAAGTGTTGAAAAGCAAAGAAGTCATCTTGAACACTAAGGTATACTAGACCCAAGCCTTGGTATTTTCAGTAGCCTCATATGCATGTAAAGCTGAACAACGAATAAAGAAGGTCAAAGATCTTTGAATTATGATGCTGGTGAGGATTATTGAATATACCATTGACTGTCAGAGAACGAACAAATCTGTCTTGGAAGGAGTACTGCCAGAATGCTACTTAGAAGTGAGGATGGCAAGACTTAAGATCTCTGAAGTACATTCTTCAGAGACCTTATCAGGAGAAGCCAGTTCTTGAGAAGGATTATCATGTTTGGTAAAGAAGAGGACCAGGGAAAAAGAGAAAAACCCTTACTGAGGTGAATTGACACAGTGGCTGCAATAATGAACTCAAATGCAGCAACAATTGTGATGAGGCTGCAGGACGGGACAGTGCTTTGTTCTGCAGTACATTGGGTCATTATGAGTAGGAACCAACTCAACATCAACGAACAACACCAAGATAGCAAACTCCGGAGGAAGATGGTCAAGATTAAGGTAACGTCCTAGAAACTCCAATTTCTAATGATGTTCTGACCCTTTGGTGGAAGAAGCACTACTCCAAAACATGAAAGTATGCACAAAATTTTATTATCTTTCAAAACCATGTGATTTAAAGAAATGAACTATAAATCTTTAGTGAAATGTCTTTTCCAAATATTTTTCTGTGAAACAAAAAACATTAATTCAGAATCAAATATATTTCTGAAGAGAAACTAATGGATGCTTATGGTACGGATTAGCTAAAGTTTCACGAAGGTTTGTGTTCCTAACACACATTTTACATTAGACAAAATAGTGTAAAACCAGTAGGAGCTTTAATGTCTCCAACATTAAATAGTAAATCAGGAAGACTATCTCAATCAAAGCAGGAAAATCCAATTAAAGTGGGCTACTTCTGATAGAATATTTTGAGAAACACAGAAATAATAATTGCAAATGAAATAATTCTTATTAAAATATTTTGTAAAAATTCACTATAATAAAAAGTACAGATGTGGTTCTCCTAGCTCAACATGAGTAACATTATTTTTTTTATCAAATACTAGTGTAGTAAATTATTTTTCTGTGGATGCCCTGAAATGATACTGAATCATTTGGGCTTATCTGGATGTTCCAAAAGGGAATGGGGCACACACACCTAAAAGTCACAAGAATTAAGTCACAATTGTTTTGTTTACAAGTTCATAAAAGAATCTCTAAAATCAATTTGATAAATATGAAGAGGCTTTAAAAATTCATGGGAAAAATTACATTATCTTTTTGTTTCCTTTTTCCATGAACTTTCTAAAATAACTTCATATATTCTGTTAAAGGCAAATATATTTAGGATAAAGATAATAATAAGCATCTATCTGTAAATATATTAGAAAGCAATGCATGTGCTCAAATTAAATACATCTAAAGCATACCTTGACTCAGTGGCATACAACAAACCATACCACAAAGCCTTCATTACAATAATCACTTTCTTATTAATATTACAATTAATTTCTTATTAATGATTATCAATGCCTACCAAATAGAAAACACTATTTTCTTAAATTCAAAAATGGTACTAATAGCAACAGACATATACTTTCATTGTTGTTGTTTAGTGCCATCGAGTTAGCTCTGACTCATAGCGACCCTGTATAGGTTTTTTGAGATTGCAAATATTTTGCAGGAGCAGGAAATCTCATCTTTCTCCCTTGGAGGGCTGGTGGGCTCAAACCACTGACCTTGTAGTTAGCAGTCTTGTGCTTATTGTCCAGAGCCACTGCACTCCCACTTTTTCATTAGTGGTGCTAAATTTTGTAGTGATTTCTAATCAGTGCTGTTCATGATCAATGTTATGCATTTTCACAAGGGTTGCCAATCTCTAAATCTAATGTGCAATGATTGTTTCATTTCTCAAAAGTATAGTAACTTATGAGGTTTGAGCCCATGATCATATGATAATCACACTTTACTTATGTAGTGGGCTAGGTTGCCTAGATATAACAATTTTATGATTTTTGTTAAGCAAAAGCTGAAGTTTTTTTTGTTATCTTTAATCATCAACACTGAATATTTTTATTTGTATGCTCGCCTACACCTGGATCAACAAATCTTACTCTTGGCCTACATTACCTTTTCTTTCTCTCCTTGCTCTTCACTAACTACACTTAATATTCCAACAAGAAATGCAACCTTTGCAATTTTGCCTTCTTCCCTTCCATTCTATATAGAATCATAAGCATACTTTCCCACAAATACTTAAAACACAAAGGTCTCAATCTTTTTCTCTATTTAAAAACCAGTTGGTATCTTTTGATTATCAATAACGGCAAATATAAACCTTTTATACTAAATGTTAACATTCTCCCTTCCAATTGACCTTTTCTCTTTTAGCACTCACATTTCTTCTTGCTCTTTGGCACAGTTGCTCTGATTCTTCTAAGCCATCTGGTTGTTATTAACACACAGGATTTGCTTTCACTGCTTTCCTGCCTATGCAGATGCCTCTCCTTCAATCACTGTTTCCTGAGACAGCCCTTGCGGATAGGTCAATTCAACAGTTTTTCTCTTTACTGAGCTGAGATCAAGTGCAGTCTATGACTTCTACTTTTGTCTGTGTGCATGTCATTCTACACACATCCAAGTGGTTTTGCATGTTTGATATGTCTATGGTGGCATTTTTTGAACCTTTAGGGAAGAATCTTTTCACCTGGCCCTGTCTCATTCCCATGCCTTAATCTATCCTCCCAATATCCCAGAACTGCATTGTGTGAACTCTTATTTCAGGCATGTTGCTGTGTGCCATAGAGTCAGACTCATAGCAACCCTTGAGCAGAGTAAGACTGGCCCATCTGTAATCTTTGTGGGCGCAAATCTCTAGGTCTTTTCTCCCACGAAAACACCAGGGGGTTTATGGGAACTACTAACAGTTAACCATTGTGTCACCAGAACTCAGTACATGTTTAATTCATGTTTGATTACCAAGCCACCATCTAAATTTGGTGCTATTTACATGTGAAACATATATAGAAAGGTAGAGTTATCAAAGGATAACAAGATCTCTATCTAGGAATTATTCTGTGAATTTTAATTTTAAAGCTTGAGTGAAAGCCTGCAGATGGCATACTCACCACCCCACCCCTACCATCAAAATGTCTCCGACATTACTAATTGGTTAACTAACAAATTGTCACATGGGGTGTAAGCTATTTCTAATTGGTTATCTTGGGAAACGTTGCATGTTGTGTATCTATCCAGATTTCAAAAGATGTAGCACATTATTATTTTCAAGATCTTAGTATTGTTAATTTTGCTCACATTTCAAAGTACAAATAAGAGACCATATCTAGGCATTGCCAATCCAAAAAAGGACAAATATATTTTTTCCAATAGTGTTTATAGCCTCACCTTACATTACTATCCTTAAATTTTTAGCATCTCTAAATGTTTTTGCATTCTAAATTATTTTGAAAATTGTGTTTCCATAACAATTTAATGGAATCTCCTGTGATGCTGTTTAAATCATTACAATCGGCCATAAACATATCATTAGGTTCCAATCAGAACCTTTTATACTAAGAAGTAATCTGACAGTAGACTTTTATAGAAATATCATGTCTCTATGGTATTGCCTCCTGGCCACTTTCTTAGCCCACCTGAGATAATAAAAGAGTCAGGATTATGACTGACTATGGAAAGCAGAGGTTGATTTCTGTTTGTTCCACATGATATGGGAAACATTACTCAGAGGAAACTAGATATGGTCATCCTTAGATGGCATCTAAAGGTGTATTCCTTCATAAAGATACATAGTAACATAATTCACTAAGGTTGAAGATCAATAAGCACTGACTTTATTTGTTGGATGGTTGCTTAGGGTTAGGAGTGCTCCTTTTGGTTATTCAGTCCCCTGAAATTCTGGTGCACAATTTGCTCAAGAAGAAGAGGTAGGTGGCTCAGATGTGGAGAAAGCATGTCTATAACCCACATTACTCTATTGCTCTGTGTTGCAGGTCCTAATTTCTCAGTAGTGAATTATTCTTTTTTAGTTCCTATTATTACTAGATAACTTTAAAGCCCACTTTTATGTCTGCCCATTAATCATCTATGTAATTTTAGAAGGCAAAAGGCATGAGACTCAGAGCTAATTACACATTCTATTATGCCTTGAGATATCTGGATGAAAATCATGCTTCACCACTCAATCACTTCCCTAAAATTCATTTCCACAGAGATGATTTAATGATCTATTTACTTTAAAGGTTTGCCTTTGGGGACAATGATTATCCTGTCTATTTGAAAGAAGAGACGTTCACCTCATGGAAACTGTAAGCATTTAGAAAAATCACTGTGGCCTTTGAAAATAAATTTAATATAAAATTAATAA